TCTAAAATAAATTAAAATTGATACCAAATGTACATCTAATTAATGCATAATCACACAGAGGGGGATTATTCCAACTTGCTTTAAAACACAGTAATTTGACTATACACACCTTAGTTGGGATACCCTCCAAGGACAAACACATACGCACACAGCAAATGAATAATTAAGTGATTTTCTAATTCTAGTATTCCCAATGTCATTGATAACAGGGATTCTAGATGTATAAGAAAGAACACTCAGGTGTCCCTGTGGTCCTTATTTTGAATTAGTATCATCAGAACAAATTTATGAGATATTTTATCTTTTAAAAAACTACATATACACATTAAATGTATCTATTCATATATATACACATATAAACATATGCATGTACACACACATAGAAATAATGTGTATGTATCAATATATGTATGTGTATGTGTAAAAGAAATCAGGGCACTTTGAAAAAATTGCTGGTTCCAGGTCTGAGGCAGGGAACATGTAAGACGATCTTGGAACATCTTATCATACCAGGGAGCCAGACTCTAAGGGGCTTCCAAGGGGTGTGTCTAAAGGACTCAGCAGGTAAGCTGAGAGGGGCCCATACAACAAAGACATATGATCCAGTTTCTTCAATCAATAAAATTCAAGGGAACAAAAGAAGAGAGAGAGAGATGGGGACCTATAGATTTAAAGGGATTTAAGATTAAAGGATACTTAAGAAACATAACCAATTGTAACATATGAACGTTATTTGGATTCTAATTCAAATTATTAAAAATTTGATATTTGAAGAAAAGAAATTATTTTTTTCAGTGTGATGATATTATGGTTATTTATAAGGGTCCTTATAATTTATTGATACACATGAGGAATTATCATGAATGTGCTTTAAAATAATATAGGAGGAGAGGAAGTAGGTAGGGAATAAATGAAACAGGTTTGACTAAGAGTTGAAAACAACTGAATCTGGTATGATGGATAAATTGGGTATACTGTGCAAAGCTTGTTTACTTTTATAAGTTTAATATTTTTTACAAAAAATTGAATATCTTATTAACGTAAGCACACAAAACATAAACTTATAATTAAATGGATGAAGTGGATGATTCCTCCTTCTCCTTCTTCATTTACATGATACAATTTAAAAAAACAAACAATAAGGATTTTGAATACCCTATAATAACAACATTAAATATATAAATGTTTTACATGCAATCTTTTTTTACATTATGTATAGTAGACTACTTTAAATACCATGTTGGGTATGTAAATTTTCAGAGCTCAGGCTGTGGTACAAATTATGACAGTTCAAAAAATATGATTTAAAAGTGTTTATGTTTATATCCACTATTATTACAAAATACAGCATGAAGTTTAGCATTATGCATTGCATTATACTTATAAAAAGATTTGAGAACAACTCTCATAAGCCTACAAAACATTATACTCTTTAAAAGTAAAAATTCTGTCCTGAATCCTTGTGTATAACCAATAGCACCTAACCACCTACTGATTTTCTGTATTTAAATACTATAAAAGAAGTTACACTTCTGAACACAGCAAAGCATCCTTTAAGATATCACTAGAGAACCTCAAACCAAATTCTAAATTTAAATTCATACTAAGAACCAGTGCTTACCTTGTAGTGCATCACACAGGCAGGTTTATATGGGTGCTCGCTCTCTATAACAGCATAGTGATTAGAGGTTGTACAAGCAGAGAGGCCTTGTTCAGGCTGGTTTCCCGTGGTACTATCTGTTGACTGATTAGGATTGAATGCAGGAGGTGCATACTTCTGATTCAAAATGGCAACTGAGGGAAGTAATTGTTGAACAAGGCCAAAGACTTCTACAGCCACCTAGTATACATATTAAAAAATGGTTAAATGAGATAATAAATGTGAAAGTGGTGTTAAAATTATGAATTACTATAACTGTTGGTTATTACCCTCATTAACAACAATTTCCATTTAGAGTTTCTACTAAGTTTTTGTTCAAAGAGAAATCTGTTCTATGGATAAAAAAAGATTTATCTCAAATGTCATATATGTTATATGAAAATAACCTAGTATATATTTTTAAACACTTGCTGTTTTGTGATCTGAAGTAAATTAGGTTTTACTCAATAGTTAATTATGCCAAAGAATCAATAGTTTATGATTTCCTCCATATCTTGAATATTTCACTATTTTAAAACACTCCTATCCTTTTACATTGCTATTGTTATTTAAGATGGGGAAGATTTGGCATCGACCTCACAAATTTTACAAATCTCAGTTAACTTTATCTTTCCTTATAATATTATGTTTCTAAAATGTATTTCCTATTCTCAAATTCTTCAAATGTAAAGTGAATAAGTAAGGATATTAATTCACTAAACAATACTAAGAACAGAGAGGTTTCACTATTAATAATAACTTCCACCATTTAACATGTTCATCTCTACTTCTCACCTATAACCCAGGTGCCTCAAGGATTAAAGTATTTTTAAAGGAAAGACACAAAATTTAAAAAAATGATTTTTTTTTTTTAAAAGATTCCAACTTATAGAATTAAATTACACACCTTGGGAATAGCAGCAGCTACTGGTCCTATGTAGGCTATAATAAGGGGAAGCAGCATGGAAAACAGACTGGAAGAACTAAGCAGTTCTGGAATGTCATCAGCTAAAAAAGGCATTAAAACTATAGTTAGAAGGTAATCTCATTGTACTGTATACAAGCTATACTAAATATATATGCTGTTTTCTTGAGAAAAATTATGTTGACATTAACTGAATGCTTAAAAAAGACCTGGTACTTTTCTAACGGCTTTATTTACATATGTTCTCTCAAATAATCCTCACAATAAGATACTTCTATTATCCCCATTTTTTTTTTAAGGGAAAACCAAGACACACAGTGTTTAAGTATCTTACCCAAAATACTTAATGGTTATTAGGTATAAGTATTAGGTAAAATGACAGAGCCAGGATTAAAACCTAGGATAACTGAGTCATGACTGTAAACTACCACTCTGGCACCAAACATGGCTTTATCAGTGACATTAGGCAAATTACTTAACCTGTAAAATAGGACAGTAAAAGTAGTTCCCTCATTTGGATGCTGTGCAGATTAAGTGAGTTAATATATAAAAAACACTTAGAACAACACCTATTACATATTAAGCACTCCAAAAATGTTTGCTGTCATTAAGCTATACTGCCTTCTATTTTTCTAAAGAAAGCACTTTGCTGATGAACACTTTAGTCTTTTATTCATGAATATTGTGCTGGAAAGATAAACTGAGTCCAGATTGTGAAGATTTCTACATTACAGGCCAATTATTCTCCCAATATTGGTTTCTTGATCTGCTGTTGCATCAGAACAGGCTGGGCACTTATTTAAAAAAATGCAGTTTAGCCTAGCTTAAACCCCTGGGGATGGATGAAATATTCTTTACTTTTAGTATGTTTCCCAGGTGATTCTGATGTGCAACTAGGCTTAGAAATGAATGTTACAGATAACAGTAAGGGGATGGGGGTAACAGTGAATGTTTTTATAATAATTCTGCTGCCATTGTAGAGGATAACTAGAGAGGTAACTAGAGAGAAATGGGGGAAACGTGGCAGTGAGATTATTAGGATATTATCCATCCATCAAAAAGAGGACATAGGCTGGATGCAATGGCTCACGCCTATAATCCTAGCACTCTGGAAGGCCGAGGCGGCAGGGCCGCTTGAACTCAGGAGTTCGAGACCAGCCTGAGCAAGAGTGAACGACTGTTTCCCCCTCCCCCCACCTCTACTAAAAAAAAAATAGAAAAATTAGCCAGCGTCATGGCATGCACCTGTAGTCCCAGCTACCCCAGAGGCTGAGGCAGGAGGATTGCTTGTGCCCAGGAGTTTGAGGCTGCAGCAAGCTACCATGACACCACTGCACTCTACTCGGGGTGACAGAGCGATACTCTGTCTCAAAAAACAAAAAGGGGGACACCCACTTGCACCATGGCAGCCTGAACTACGGCAATGATAGAGGAGAGAGAGACAAGAAGACAAAAGGCAGAGTTTCCACAGGAAGAACTCAAAAACTGAATTCAGACAGTAAATATGAGGAGACTTTTAGGGATACCCAGACCTCTGGGTGAATGGCAATATAATACTGAAAACAGAACATAGAAGAAAAAACATTTTGAGTACTAAAAGAAGAATAACACAGGGACACAGTTTAATCAAGATAGAATTTTTCTCTTATTGGGGCAACTAAGAAAATAAGAATATCAGACAATTGCTTTTGAACATTCTAAAAAATTCTGCATTAAACTATGGAGAGCATGACTTACCCAAAATTAACATGTACATAGATCTATAATGAATAAAACACTTTAGGATTCTACAAAATGTTTCCTAAATAACTGCGCACAAGTTAGGGAATAAAGAATTTAAAATATGACTACTGAGAAAGAAAAAGAAAAATCTTACCATCCACAGCAAGAGCTCTGTGCAAGAGGTCCTTAGCAGCTCGAACGACAGTGCTTACCACAGAGAGAGCTCTGCTACAGTTTTTATCTTCTTCATTAGCTTTACTCAGAAGTTGGGATTGTAAATCTCCATCAAATTCACTCCTGTAACATGAGGAAATATGAAATTATTTTACAATGGCAGGTAAACATGATTGAATGCTAGGAATCATATCTAGATCAGAGCTCCTCATTTAATTTATAGTTTTAAAAAAGTTAATGTAAAGTTAAAAAAGCAAATATGCAATTATATAATTTCAGGATTGAAAGAAAAAGGTTTCAAAGAAAAATAAAGCAGCATAGGGTATAAAATAAAGGGTGTTATTTTAAATAAGATCAGTTCTCTGAGGAACTGGTATTTAACAAAGGCCTGAATTATGTTTAAAACAACAACAACAAAACAAGCGTGCTAAGATCTGAGGAAAAACTCTCAGGGCAAAGGGAACAGATTGGTGGATTCAAGGAACAGAATGGAGACAAGTATGGCTGGAACGAAAGGAGAAACAGTGAAGAGTGATGGGTGGGAAGGGAAGCAAGTCAAGACAGGTGAGGTTTGAAGGCCACAATGATAACTTCACATTTTATACTGGTATAGGATTGGGATGCTATTGGGTTTTAAGCAAGGGCAGAATTTGGTATGATCTGCATTTTTATCAGATCACTCTGGCTCTGCTGTGGAGAACTGACTGTAGGAGGGCAGCAAAAGGAGGGAAACTGGTTTAGAGGCTACTACAGTTAGCAGGTGGAGGTAGTAGTGGCTTGGGCTAGACTATCGATGAAGAGAGTGGTAGGAAAAGTCAGATTTAGGACATTTTAAAAGTACAGCTGCAAGGAGTTGTTGACTAGATGTCAAGAAGGAAGATCACTAGATGTGAAGGAAAATGAGAAGTCAGGAATAACTCCAGGGTATTTGGCTGTAACTGTGGATGGAAGAGCAATACTCTGGACACATTAAACGTACTGTGTCTATTAGCCAACCATGCAGTGTATACTTAAAAAGAAGATGCAGTGAAGTGGTTAAGAGTGTATCATTTGGAGTCTGATTTCCTACCTACAAGCCTGTCTCCAACTCCTGACCTCAAGTAATCCTCCCATCTCAGCCTCCCAGAGTGTTAGGATTACAGGTGTGAGTCACCGCACCTGGCCTAATTTAATGTTTTCATTTAAAGCTAAGTAGAAAACATTAAAATATCTAAAATAGTGTATAAGATATTGTATAAGATATAAAGTTTGGATAGCAGATGCTATTAATGGGATTGCTAGCTTTCTGAAATATATAACGCATCTTTGTGCATAATATTGCTTTTAATCTACGGTTTGAGAAAGAGAATAATGTACTGTTTATTGTAGTGCTTATGTGACAGAAAAAGTTTTTCTTCATTGGGGTAAAAAGACTAAACAGCTTTTGTATCTCAGCAGCAACACTGTACTACATATAGAGCTATTTACTGCCTAATATTTCTGTTATATTTTGCATGGAAAAAGGAAGCAGAAAATGTAGGACAATTATTTTATACTAACTACCTAGGCAGTGTCCCCAGACTGTTTATGAAGGAAATGAAGAAAGCAGCAAGCCTCTTCAAGTTATATGCAACTTCAGTTAATGCTAAGTGAGGCTGAAGACAAATGTGGTAAATAGTACTCATTACTATCTAAGATTCCAGCTATGTTGCTAGAAGAATTCAGACTCAGTGAGAAACATACATTTAAAAGTTTTTTAACCCAAAGGTTATCATTCTTTATTTTCGACTGTATACATAAGGAATGGTTTTTGTTAAAAATATTATGAAACACACCATTATACATTCTAGGGCACCAGCAGATTGAGCAGGTACAAGATTCACAGACATCAAAATATTCTGCAGACTGGATAACAGGATCTAGGCACAACCACTACCTGGGTAGAGTCAATCTGATCACTGATTTTAGGTATTTTATAAAACGAAATGAATAAATTCCATTTAAATTTGAAATTGCAGATCATAAATTTAAAGTGACAGCAACAGCACATATGCCCAGTATACAAAAATTTCAATATTGAAAAAATAATGGCAAAAAAAAAGTTTTAAAGCATTTACCGTTGTAGTAAAAATTAAATTTATATATTAAAATGACACCTTTTTATATAAATTTGCACAAGTATGTGCTAAGAAGATACACTGTACAATTTAACTATCCAGTTAGCAATTTGGTAGTAAATTATGTATGTTCTACCACTGTAAAGTATTTGCCTTATCTCTACACATACACCTACCTATAGTAGAGTATCTGTGGAATCTGTCCTCTAGTTTGGTTTGTGCCGTTACTACTCAAGCTACACGTGCTGAATGTAAATGTCACACCATCAGGGCACTGAACTGTGGTCATTCCTCCATCTCCATTGGCTGTACGGCTTCCATAGTTCCTCAAGCGCACAGCATATTTAACATTTTCCTTCATGATAAGGATGTAAGACATGTTTATATTTATTAATAATGTACAGAGGATATACAAAAAGAACTCTAGCAGTAAACTGGGCAAATATATTGAACTTCTTTGTCATATTTATAGACAATGTTATTGAATGAGTTTTTAATGAATCAAATATGATAACTAACATTTACTGAATGTCTATTATGTAACAGAAACTGTCCTGAGTACTTTGAGATTTAATTAAATTAATCCTTAAAATGACCTCATGAAATAAGCATCATTATTATCTCTATTTTACAGAGGAGGAATCTGAGGTGCAGAGATGTTAAGTGATTTGCTCAAAGTCACACAGTAAGTGATGGAACTGGGATTTAAACATAAGTAGTGTGACTGGTACCTGCTCTTAATTACACTACCAGAATATTAGCCATAATAAAAGATTTTAAATACATAATATTTTTCCTTGATCAATTCAATTTTCAAAATAATTTTAAATGTAAAAAAGAATAATGAGGAGTCCATTATATTTTTATTTTAACAAGCCCTCAAGAGACAGAAATATATAGGCAGATAGACATGGAAAAAAATACCTGTAAGAAAAAAGTTGTCCAAAAAAGTTGATCCACTGTACATTGAATATGTGAGCTATAGATACTAGTCCTTTATGATCTAGGATATAGACTTCACGATGAAGGCTTTTTGGTTTTTCAGTATCTAAACTTTTTTTGATGAAGTCTCTCATAAACCTACCTTATCTAAAATTCCGCTGTATGATGAAATTTATTTCAGTTGAATTTAGAAATACTTTAATGTTACTCTAATGCTAATAATTACTTTAATGTGGTAAAATTTCTCTATTTTGCTAAATATTTGTTAGAAAATTAAATTATATAAAGTAATGACTTTAATAGTTAATATTTACTGTTAAGACCACTTGTTTTTAAAATGAATTTTGGCATAGAAGGAAAGACGACTAACATTTATTGAGTTGCTCTAACATGCTAGACACTGAGGCAGGCGCCTTATTTCCATTATTTAATTTAATCTCAACAACATTACAATGTAGGTGTTATTCTCCCAATTTACAGGTAAATTTCAAAGTGGTTAAATGATGACTTGCCAGTGTCTTAAAGCTAATATGTAGAAGAGCAGGTATCTGAAGCTAGGTCTGTTTGACACTAAAACCTAATAATACTTAATAATACTTCCTACTGTTCCAGACCTTAAGAGATACTATGCAAAAATAGAATGCAATATCTATAGTATTAATAGAATATAATACAATATCAGGTACATAGCAGGTATTCCATAAATACTTTAAGCACCATACAAGGGATAACTTAGGATAGCTGTATGTAACAAAGAAAACTCATTGAATACTTTTCATTATTTTTAACTACACAATAACACCTCTTATTTACAATAGAGACATGTGGTTGAAATTACCTTTAAAGGAACAACTTTGTCAAGTCTTATTTCAGCTATGTCGCTGGGTGAATCGTCTGTTGTATAAGTTCCTTTGACTAATTCTAGAGATGTCCATCTGTGGGAATGAGTTGAATCTCCTGCATGTTCACTCTAACAAAAACAAAACCCACCAGATTCTTCATTTTATTATATGAACAATTTTGATTTGTAATTACTATTTTTAAAAGGTTTATTTTCTGACATACAAAATTAGTCATTAATATTTCCCCATATTTACTAAAGAAAAAAATTTTGGTATTCCATTCATTTTTATTTGATTTCCTGAGGAGACTACAACATAAATGGGCTTTTCTCATCTGATGTCTTAAACTATTTCTACTTCTTCATAATAAAAGTACTATACCTAATTATAGAACCTTATAAAGTAGAGAATTATTTCAAATTAAATGCTCAAAGGAATCAAGCTAGAGATAGATTCCTATTTATTAGGAAATGATTTACATGCTATCTTTCTTCCCATTTCACTAAAACTTTGTGAAAACTCAGGTACCTTAAATGATTTAGAGAATATCGAAAGATACAGCTAAATCAATAAATAAATACTACAAAATTCCTTAACCACTGATAGAGGTAATAATGTCCATCTGAACACTGTTCATGCTTCTTGAGGGAAAAAAAAAAACTACACAAGACTTGTAATCAGAGGTTTAGCTAAATACTTTCTAGTCTTTAATTTCATCTAAAATCTTTCCCTCTCTGAAAGTACACAAAATATGAAGCAGGAGAGATCCAAGATGGCACTCAAGCAATCAGGTAAAATTATTCTCTTTCAGTTTCTTTAATGGAACCCATCTCTGATTGATCAGCTAAACATTTAAAGGTTTGGACTCATCATACCCGGACAATGATAAGTCCTGATATACAATCCACACAGCAGGGTGAACCCTATAAGAATGATACTTACATCATCAACCAACACCTCTAATTCATATTCATGAATTCCACCTCCTCCATAGACAGAGAAACCAACCACAACTATTCCAGGTTTGTCTACTGAAAAACAGATTGCATCAGGGGACCCATTCCCAGTGTTCCAACTTCTTCCCTGACTCGTTTTTGTGAATCGGTTAGCACTAGCTTTTACAGAGTGAAGAGAATTAAGTCCATCAACCTGTGAACAACAAAAGCAATTACATCAGTAGTTTGTACACCTTTAACAAAACTATCCAAAGGATTCTCAGAAATCCAATAAAATAACCTATATTTAATAAGTGGGTTTAAGCATACCTAAAGGTACATTCTATTAAGAGATTAACCCATAATAAAACCAGATGTAATCATTCTAAATTCACAAATCACTTGACAATATTTTCTTCATTTACTCATATTAAACTATATATTTCACTTAATTATAATGTCAGAACTAAAAACTTGTAAGTTTTCACAGTCATAATGAATGATCACTCACTTTGAAAAGAAATATTAAACATTTTATCAACATTCTAAAAACCAACAGTTTTCGAATTATGCTACAAAGAGCACTAGGACTTCTGCAGGGATAGGTATGCGAGGAAGAGGTGAATTCAAGGTTCCCTTCTTCAATGAGACCACCTGTTCTTACTGTGAATTTCCAAATAAGACTTGATTTGAAGAAAATGGTCTATAATCTAAATTTGAATATCACTGAGGTATACAGAGATGTTTTTATAACTTGGCATTCAATATTTGAGTTTATATATATGCACAACCACCCTAATTCAAACTCTCATTAGAGAAGATCAGTGTACCTATTCTGGTTTAAAACTGCTCTTTTTATTTATACAGCCTGCTTCTAATCTAAGTTGGCTGCAGAAATTTGGGAGAATAAACGAGGAAAAAACTAAAGTTCATGATTCCAGCAAGAATTACAAACCTCTGAGAAAGAAACACAGATATCTAAAGCCAGGACCTTTGAGAACTCCCAAGGTTGTATATTAAGCACTCTGCAATTTTGGGCATTCCTTTTCATTACAAAAGTAAGTTCACAAGGGATAACTCTTTAGCAGACTTCAGAAGGTGATCTATGCATTATAGACTGTCCTGCATCTTCCAGGGTTTAGTACAAAAGGGAAGCATATTATAGTATGAATGAATAAATTTTTAAAAAATTAAAAATTTTCTGATAAGTGCTTCAGTGGCCTCCTAGGCCACAGTCAAAGCAGAGCCAAGATG